TGAGAAAGATAATACTTTTTAACTGAACTAAACTGAATTTAAGGAGCCTGCCGAGTTCTCCTCCACGGGAATTTGAGGGTCAAAACACCGGGGAATGAGAAGTTTGTAGTATTTTCTCTGGTTCCTAGAACTCTTTCAGGTGTTCTGGACTGTATGTGTATGATAGCCAGAGAATAGGCTGGCTTGGAAGTGTGGAGTAACTACTTATGAGGCAGCCTAAGGAATGTGGTGTCCCTCAGCACTTTGAGATTCAAATTGAAGATGTGAAACCTGTATAAGCGTGTATATAGTACCTTTTCCAGAGGCATAAGTCTGTGTTCTAGTCTTTCTCTGATCCTCTTTTCGAGATTCTAAACTCCTGCTCCATCATCCTATCCCTGAAAGGAACTTCTTAGATCAATGACCCATCACATACTCAATCATCCCTGGAGTTCCTGCAGACGTGGGAATTGTGCCATTTCCTTTTTAATCTGTAGTAGATAAATATATCTTTCTCAATGAATGAAGCATTCGTTTATTTGCTTCAGATAAATAAATAAATGAATGAATGAGATTGAGAACTCCCCACAAAGCTGGTTCTTACAGCCTGCATCACGAAGTCTTCATCTACAAATTGTGGGTAGAATGCCTACCTTGTTGGTTGTTACAAGAAACTGAGAGTTATAAATGAAGAACCTTGTATTCTGCTTGGCACAGAGTCTGGAGTTATCTTTTCCTGTAATAAAATTCAACGATATCCCAAATTTGGAAATTAAAATTTTAGGCCTATCCCCAGAACAAGCATCATAATGATTTTTCAAATAGTCCATAGCTCGTGGTCTGAATACACATGTTTTAAAATGTCATATAATTGATGAGATGCATTAAACTTCCAAGGACATAGTTGGCTTTCTATTATGAATTCCAATACTTGAAAACCTTGGGGTAGAGTCTTCTGTAATAGGCTATGTCAAATACAAGCTCTGTCTTTGCTTATTTATACAAAATAGCCTCTAACCCCCAGTCCACTATGTTGCACAAGATTTATTTACAAAGTTTTCAGCCAGAGCTAGAGTTCCAGGAGTTCAGAGTATACATGAACTTCCCTCCAGCCAATTATTTGGGGTTAGTTTTTGTGATCTGACTTTGATTTCAACATATTTGTCCACTTATGTTTAGAAAATACATAGTTATGAACAATTTTTTTCCAGTGAGCAATATTTTAATTTTAGGGTACACTATGTAGAACAAAGACTAAATGTATTAAATACATTCCTGCATGGGTTATACATTAAATTTCTGGACAGTGACATGATCCCTACATCCTACGCAAGACAGAAAGTTAAATAATTTTTCAGAATGTTTAGTGAGATCAGTTGACCCATATTTTGAAGAGCATTCAAATTTCTCCCCATGGAATAATACAAATCCCACATAAACCCACATTTATCTAATTTTCCTATCTTTTAAAATGTAGAAAAATTCAGGTTCCTTTGCTAAGTAAATTACATGTTATTCTTCAAGATAATTGTCATGTGACTGCATTAGTTGGCTAACCTTGTGTTCTCGCTAAGATACATTATTATTTGAAAAGAAATTGTTTTCATATGAGGTATGGAGAAAGAGATTCTAAAAGTACAAACATCCTCATCCATATCTTCAGTATTTAATCAGGTATTTTCAGCACACTGGTAAAACTGTAAATGGTAAGCATATTTGAAAGTGACATTCTTTTTCTTTTTAATTTAATTTAATTTTATTATGTTATGTTAGTCACCGTACAGTACATCATTCGTTCTGTTTCTGTTTTTTTTAAGTTTTATTTATTTATTTGACAGGGAGAGACACAGTGAGAGAGGGAACACAAGCAGGGGGAGTGGGGGAGGGAGAAGCAGGCTCCCCGCTGAGCAGGGAGCCTCATGCGGGGCTCTGTCCCAGCACCCTGGGATCCTGACCTGAGCCGAAGGCATACGCTTAACGACTGAGCCACCCAGGCGCCCCAGGACATCATTAGTTTTTGATGTAGTGTTCCATGATTCATTGTTTGCGTATAACACCCAGTGCTCCATGCAATACGTGCCCTCCTTAATACCCATCACAGGGCTAACCTATCCCCCCACCCCCCTCCCCTCTAAAACCCTCAGTTTGTTTCCTGGAGTCCATAGTCTCTCATGGTTCGTCTCCCCCTCCGATTCCCCCCCTTCATTTTTCCCTTCCTTCTAATGTCAAAGTGACATTTATTCTTAGAATTCATTTTGATACTATTTTTTTGTACAGCATTTATAAAATAATTTCCTAAATGAGATATTCATATACAAAATTTCACATAGTAGAAAAGCTACTTCCCGCAGAAATCTGACTCAAGTGTAGATTTAGTAATAAGCTAAAACATTGGCTTATCTTGAGACTACTGGTTGTGCGTAATGATAATATCCCCATGAGCACCTGTAGAACACTTCATACTATTTAAAACGCTTTCACATACATTGCCATTTATCATTTAATCACAGATAGTTACAAATGTCAATAAATTCTTTGGATTGGTCAAAATGCAGAAAAAGACCTAAATTCATATTTCAAGCAACTTTTATTAGCATTTTGCTGGTAAGTAAGTAGAGCATTTTACCAAAAGAAATAAATATAGATTTGGAGCAAATATGTCAGAAAAGTGGTTTCTCATTAACATATAAAAATGCCTCTACCACGACTACTATCAATCTTATTTAGTTCACTCTTAAATATGTAATGGCATTATACTAAATGGGCTCAACTGGGGCACTGGCCAGACACCACAAAGCCTAGAGACTAGAACCTGACATGTTAAAGCAGGTTAGGAATTCAACAGGAAGGAGCCAAAATCCAGAAAGGAAATGGAGGGTACAAATCACTGTCTTTAAGAAGTACAAGGAATCATAGCTGGGAAAACCAAGTATTACTACTAGAACCACAACCTGGAGCAAGACTGCCCGTGAGAGTGTGATCCAAGGGGAAACAAACAGGTGCAACTGGAACTGGATGGCAAGTCCTGGGATTACTGGGTATGGAATGTGGGTTGCATTACCTCATGGGTCAGCTGGTATGAGGCATAAGAGGTGGACCTTACTTAAAGATGCACGCTGGGCAAGACATACAAAACATATCAAGTCTTGTTAGTATTAACTACATACCTGGTTATGATAACAGTTATTAAAATGTAATTCTACATGGAGATTTGATTTCTTATCCAGAATGCTATGTTAGTAGTCATGCAATTGCTGACTTCTACTTATTGATTTGAAATACTATTCAAACTAAATATATAGGAATCCTATTCTGTAATTAACATTTATAAGTGATTAGAATTAATTAAATATCTACTAAATTCCAAATAAAATTACTTATATGTCATTTTGAAGAGGATGAAGCTTAAATCCTTCCTTCATCCTGATAAATAAGAATAAAAGAATGTCATCATTTTGACTAACATGAGATAGATAATAAAAATTATGTGTTGTTCGAACATGAACTATTTCTGATTTGTTGCAATTTGGGGTGTGATTTAGTCTTATTGTGGTGCTACTAGGAAGTAAAAAAAGCTACTGCAATTCAGTATAATTTTTTGTTGTCCTTTTCACCTATGTATGATTATATAATTCCAGCCAAGCCGTTTACATGATTTTAAATTCTGGATCCAGGGTCTTCTGTCTAAAAACTGTACTTAATTATCCCTCCTTTAGCTTTTCACAAAGGATGTTTCAGCCTCATGTTAGTTTTTGATTTGCAATACATGCATTTTTCTGAAAAATATTCTGAGACACTTTTGTGTGTAAGGGAAATAATTCTCTGCTAGAGGATGCTGCTTGATGCAGGAAAAACAACATGGTAAAACAGCAACTCACAGGAATATTTTCAAAATGTGTATCTCTACTGATATAATGTGAATTTGTTTGATTCACAAACTCAAACTCTGCATTAATGGTGAGAAGAGAAACTGAAGAGCACACAAAAAGAACAGAAATATGCTAAGGCCTCAAGGGAAATTTCAGGAACATAGGACAATTCCTAAGGACCTAAAAAAAAAACAAACCAAAGTTGTTCTTTCCTGAAATTTGTCAGTAACATGTGCCATGAATTAAATATTTGAAAGAGCATAGATTTTAAAATAAAGTTAAAATTCCCACTATTCCCAATATAAAAGATCCATGTTCTTCTACTCTTCTCCTGACCCCTACTCCACAGTAGGAGGCTGACCTTCACTCTTCACTGGCACAGGAAGGGAAATGAGACCTCATTCCGGAGGGTGACCTGACCAGGGCAGGAAACAGTTTTTCTGGGAACTACACAGCATTTATAAGTCTCTTGATAATTGCACCTTCAATGTCTTGGTTTGCTTCTTGAGCTCCTCTTGTGCTATGCCCTGCCAAGCAGTGCGCACACAAGGGCTTTTCCCTAGTCTCAGTGCAACCAGCAGTGTGGCTGCCCAGACACAAGAAATTGAGGGATGTGGTTGCTGTGGATTCATTTAAAGTCTGATTATCAAGACCCGGTTTGTGAGAGGGTTTCGGGTGCTAGATTTCTCTTCTGTGCCCAGAACAATATGTCTTTGCACTCTGAGACGCTGCATGGTAAATGTAATGGACATTTATGTGAATATGCCTGGGTGTTTTCCAATATCCCAAGAGGCTGCTGAAAACACACTCACACACACACACACACACACTCACGCACACTTAGCAGTAAGGCAAAAAGATCAAGTGAGTTGTAATAAAACTTCGTTCAATCTTCAAACTAGAGAGATGGCATCATCATCAATTAAAAAAAACTCTTTGGAGTAAGACTGCCTGAAACCTCACCCAGGCCAGAGGTTTCTTTCCATCGTGGCAGCTTTGGAGATAATCAGGAAAAATCTCTTAGAGATTCTGGCTGTTTAACCCCAAGTGTCACTAGTGGTGTCAACAGTTCACTCTCCTTTTTGCCTCCCCTCACCTGCTCACACACACACCCCCACACACCCCTACGCACGTATTCTCTACAATCCTTACCTTCTGTTTTGAGGTCGGTGGTCCTACACTTGTCTTCCTTCCTCTCTTTCCTCAGACCAGAGAGTCAAGATTTGTGCACATGTATACAGAAACACATAGGCAATCTCCTAAATATTCATTTGGCTAACAGTCCAGCAAATTCCAGTCCTCTAAGGATTAACTAGTCACTTTATTTCTTTTGGAAGGCTCTGCTATAACCGAAGCCCAACATTTTGTTTATCTTCCACTGTTTATCTTCCAAGGAACATGCTCGAATGCACTCATCATGACAAAGTACCTGCTGTGGAAATACATTTTTAAATGGTGAAAAGGCTTTTTTGGAGGAGCAGGGGTTATAATCTGATTTTTAAATTTTTTGATTCTTTGTAGGAATGGACAAAATACAAGATTCTTAGAGATTTTAAACAACTTTTAAGCAGTGTTTCTAGGCCCTCTTTAGTGTATAAAGTTAAGCAGATCTACCTTTATGTTCAATGGACATTTGAAATCTATAAATATAAACAAATTTCATCTAAGTTAATTGTTCTGACCTGCTTCTCCTGCAACAGCACTTTTTGGAGAACTGCTAACAAACAGTAAAAGAAAGATTTGCATTTCAGAGCCCTTTATTTCCCCAATCATGCAGTAGTGTGGGTTCTCATGAATAATGCAAAGATTCAGTGGCAGGAAGCCAAAAAGAGAGAAAAGCAAAGCAAAGATGGAGATAACAAATGACTCCACAAATTATACCATTCATCCTTGAATGACTGAGAATTGATTATTAGTGAGCTCATTTTTTTGTTTCAATTATTGACTAGAGAAGGATGGCTTTGCAGAGGATCATAAAGCATGATTGAACAGAGGCTCTCTCAAAATGCTCAAGTCCGTATTTTTTCCCTAAATGGATGTCAACCCCAGAAATATTTAAAGTAATATGTTATCACTGAGAAAAGAAATTAAGATTTTAGTTCCTTCTCTAAATATATCTTCTTGGAAGTAAATTGGAAGTAAGGGAGCTAAGGAACTAGATTGCTTGTCTCAATGGCTAGATTTTGGCACTTATATGTAAACAAATAACTTTAATATGATGTAAGTGCTATATTCACAATATGTGCTTTGGGAGAACAGACAATAAATTATATCAATAGCAATTAAGATATATATTCTTAGCCTTTTCTCAACCCACATTTTATTCAATTGACATTCAATAAATACTTAGTGGGCACATATTATATGCCAGACATTTACATTTTAACAATGCCAACAATTATCTCAAAATTTTTTAAAAACAAAGATTCTTAAATAAATGGGGATTAAGGAGATAGCCAATGATTTGCCTTGGGAACGTGAGAGAAAGAATTCAGAGACCTGCCTGGGACCAGAAGTGTGCTAGTAAATGTTTAACGACTGGCTCTCCAGGTTTAAAAAAAAGGAGGTGTGATTTGTAGCATTCATGAATTAATGTGATGTAAGTATGATTGCCATGTTTGATTTCAAGCTACAACCTGACATCACTGAATGCAGAATTGGGAAGAGATGCACACAACCCCTTCTCCTGATTCATTATGAACCCACTGTAGCCATAATTCCACAATTGTTAGTACCCACCAGACAATTTAAGACTGAGAGCCTATTTATGACTATGAAACAGATAGACCTGGGAGACTGAATAGCTTTGCAGAATGACTCCTAAATGCACACGGATATATTTACCTATGCTCCCATTGTCTTTATCTCTTGTCTTCTCTTGATTTTAGAGTGTCCACACTCATATGTTGTCTCTCTTTAGCCCTCTGCTACATTGAGTACCTGATCTCTGCTACTACAAAGAGAAAAACAACTTCTGCTATGGGAAGCTGACAATAACCTTGAGCGACTTAAGCAACATGGCTTACCGTTTTGTTACACAATATTAAAAAGTTGTGTACTCAGCGTTGAGATTTAATAAAATTAGTAAATATTTCTACTTCATCAAGGAAATTCTTGAATAAAACTGGGAGTTTTTCATCAAGAATATGTTGAGATGAAAAATTCAGTAACTATGAGCCTTCACAGGAGCTACATTTTCAGTTTACCCATTATTGCTTTGTCCCATCAGTGCAAATGTCAGAACAATTTAAAGGGCAAATAATATCTTAGTGTTATTATGAAAATAACTTTTAAGCTTGCAGGCCCTGTGAAAGGACCTCTGGGTGCCCTAGGGGTCCTTGGACAACACTTCGAGAGCCACCCGCTAGTCCAAAATCACAAATGTCTCTTGGTTTTGGTTCTTGCAAGAGGTTCCCCTCATCAATTCTGGCCACTTTGTAACCCATTCACCAACAAAAAGCCAAAGTGGACTTGCAATAAAGGCAATTCTAAACATGTCTCTTCCTACTCAAAACCCGTTTAGGACTTCCCCTTACTCTTATGATAAAATTAAAACACTTACCAAGGCTGACAAAGCCCTCTGTGATTTAGTCCTTGCCTACTTCTGCAGACTCATCCCCCTTCTGTTCCCTTCAATCTACTTGCAACAGCCACACTAGCTTCTTTCTGTGCCTCAAACACAGTAAATTCATTCTTGCCCCCAGGATCTTTGCACATACTTTTCTTTGTACTTGTAATGTTTTCTCCATTCTCCATTTATGTGATCCTGCAGATGTCAACTTAAATCTCACTCTAAGAGGCTTTCCCCACATGACCCCCATTAGATCAGATCCTCCCATTGTAAGTTCTCACGGTCTTGTAATTATATACTTAGTGTTGTACTTATTTTTAAGATCTGCCTCTTCCATGAGACTATTAAGTGTTCTCATGGATGAGACTGTGTCTGTCATGCTTCCCACTGTATCCCTAATACACAGAGTAAGGGCTTTGAATGCTGTCTGATTTTATTGAAGGGTGTCACCTACCATGAAAAAGAAAGAATTGGATGATTATCTACATTAAATGTCAGTCTATCTGCTCCTTTGAGCATGTATAACACTGACCCTATGGGCCTCACTTGAAGGAGCAACAAAACACTTTCATCCAACACCCACGTACCTCATAAGTACTTTCATCATTTAAAAGAACGTGCAAGCTGGAGGTGAAGAGAACACATCTCTCGTTCCCTACAGGAATCAAACTGGAGCCAGAGCAGTATGGCTATACTCAAAACTGAAACCCATCTCCAATAATAAGAGTATTGTTACACAGAAAAATTTGTCATATCTAAATTCCTCTTTCCTTTAATTTGATGTATTTCTAAGGAAGTTCCTAAATTCTTTATATAAATATACTTTCGACAATCAGCAGTCATTCTACTATCTCATCCAATCCTCCATTTCAGTAAAAATATTGAAGTATGTACTAGCTCTGAGTCAAGTCTGTAGCTTCTTGACTTTCTAGAAAAATTCTTATACTCCCAAGCTTAACACCACAGTAAGTCTTACCTCTAGAAAATACTGTGGCTCTCCTCCTCCTAAAGAAACATGTGCCAGAAATCAAGTAACTCCAGGAAGCTCAAAGTTCTTTAGAATCTGCCGAATATGGTGTGCACATGTCTTATGCCAAAAGGACAACCAGCAGGTAACTAGACACAGTAGTTTAAGAAAATACCATTAGATATGTTAATTTTTAATATTTATTTTTTGCTCAGTTCAAAATAAGCTACCAAAATGATTTAAGACTTCCTGAAATATTCCTGTAAATATTCTCTGCTAATTCTACTTAAGATGAAATTGATGTATCTTATACAATGCAGTGTACAAACAATTTATAGTAAGTCATAAAACTCAGGATTGCTTGGTGACAAAAACTTTTGGTTAAATCACTAAATATTTTATTTATAATGTCTCAACTACATTTGGAAGCATGTGAGACATTGTTTCCTTTTCTGTTTCCGGCAGTATTTCTCCCAAAGCTAGAGTTTGTTTTAAAAAGACAAAGATTAAACACTGCAGTGAATTATTTCTCTGCTTATGTGCAAACACCGTTTTCTTTTTGCTTGTCCTTGTGATTTTTTGAAACCTAATATTTATTACATTGTGTTTAAAAAAGAGACAGGTTAAAATGCAGCTTGAAAAAAAGAGGATAGTAACTGTAAGAGATCTAATTACGGTGACCTACCGTAATTGGGTCAGCAAGGGTCTAGGAATGAACATATCTGTAATGGATAGGGACTTTTCTGGAACATTTAAATAGCTGATATTGTGCCATTGCCTTGGAAACTCACTTGGATGTAATCAGTCTTTTTTTTTTTGGTTAGGTTTGAGAAAGAAATCCCAGATGGAAAAGTTCAAATAGGAGATTACTATCTAGAGGAGAGCTAGTGGTTGTGTTTGGAAACCTAGACATCAAGAGCGCACTGAAGGGGGCTGATTGCTGAAAGAAAGGAAGCACTGGGAATCTCCACTCTGTAAGTAGGGAAGCATCACGGAAAAATTCTCTCCTCTGCAGCAGTTGAATGACAGTGTTATTGGATGGCTTGGAATTTACCTATATCCTTTTATATTAGCTATTTCTAATTTCCTTTTTTATTTGTACTATTTGATTGTAGGCTAATCACCCAACTGATGAATCACATAGGACTCTATAGTTCTATTATACCTCCTTTAAGGAAATTTTTACTTATCAAAAGTTGTAAGACTAAATGACTCATCTATGGTGTATTATAGACAACTTTCTTGATCTCATAAAAGCTGATTGTACAATTTGTGCATTATCCTGCTTCTTGCTTTTGCTTTCCTACTTGCTTCCTTCATTTTTTTAAAGACTTTATTTATTTGACAGAGACAGAGACAGAGAAAGCACAGGAGGGGAAGAGGCAGGCAAAAGGAGAGGGAAAAGCAAGCTCCCACAGAGCAGGGAGCCCTATGCGGGCTCGATCCCAGGACCCTGGGATCATGGCCTGAGCCGAAAGCAGACACTTAACCAACTAAGCCACCCAGGTTCCCCCTTACTTGCTTCCTTTAGGCATGCTTTTTCCATAGCTAGTGCCTTCTCCAGGCCTTGAGCAAGAGGAAGGTAAGACTTCAAATTTAGGCCTGCCATGTTATTAGAAGAATGCTTGGAAGAGGTTATGGAAAATAAGAAATTGCCAGGAAAAGTGAAGTTTATAAATTATCTATGAATATCATTGATTCATATTAAAAATTCTCCCTGTCTTGGGGGGACACCTGAGGAGCTCAGTCGGTTG